TGTTGCAGGTTCGTTGGCTGCTACAAGAAGCTTCCAATTGCAAGTGACGAGTCCTACACAATGAGTTTTTTTTTTCTGTTAATTATTTATTTCGGACTTTGTAACAAAGTATTCCGGATTCATATCGAGTTTTTGGGGGTTTCGCAACGTTAGAATTTTTTTTATCCGATTCCGACGTGTTTGTATCTGCAGCTGTGGTAACTAGGGAAGAGCTGGCAACCCGAATGCTGCAACACTACTGATTCCGTGATTGGTAGATCGGTGGAGGGTGACGCATCAGAACAAAACACAACATGACAACATCAGTCAAGGGCTGCAACTTCACTTTTTAAATGACTATATCCTGGCCGGACTACTGTTGTCAGTGATATAAGTATTTGAAATGAACACGATTTCTTAATTTCTAGTGACATATCAGGAAAATTTTATTTCTTGCATCCAGCTCCTTTAAAGCTACACTGTGTGATCTTTACCCCCATCTAGTGGTGAAAAGGTATATGACATCCAGTGAATATTAGTTTCTGTTCCTCTCAATTCCGATTTCGTTTGAACTCCTACGGTGGCCAATGTAGTCCAAGACTAACATGGCTTTCAGTTCGACCTCGTCCGTGAGTGTTAACTCAAACGTAAACTCGAAAGGTGAAGCTTGAATTAACGGGGATGTCCCTCTTTGGCGATTGTACTTTCAAGATGGAGGGGCAACATGGCGACCGACATTAGAACCCCTTACCCGTATGTATTTTCAATGGCATATTACACACTCACGAGAATACTTTATTACTTGAACGAAGTAAATATACATTAATGAGCACATATATTTTTGAAAGAACTAAGTATTTTTAGCTAAGAATAAACTAAAAGAGTTAGCTTTAAGTTTAATCAATTGAAACCTAGGCTATTTAATTCTTATAGTATTCTCTGTTTATTTGGGGTCCTTTTAGGATTATTTGCTAACTATTACTTAAATTATATTAAATTAGTTTTTTATTTGGACTAGGTGAAACGGTATTAATCCGATATGTCTCTGCCTCAGCGTTTGACACTAAGTGTGACATGTAGACACGTAGAGTGAGGTATATCTTAAGCAAACGATGCTCCAGAATGCATCTCACAGCTAAAATTATCCCCCCACACACACAAACACACACACATCGCTGACTTGATTACAGGCGTGAGTGTCACAGGACGTCCTCTGGGCTTCAGTGTTTATGAGCGTGCTTCACCTGTGAAAGCATTATGGCTCTGAACGTGAGGATGTACGTCCCAGAGAGACGCCGCAGCAGGTCGTCCTGCCATCAATACAGAACGGTAAGACCTCACTGCCGTGGAGATGTGTGTAGGCAGTCAGCGGGCGATATATTCACTGAAGATACAGTCCAGACTTACTGTGCAGGTCACTGCAAGCTGAGCTGAAGGACTTTTAAGATGTTTGCGGGTTAAGATTAGCTTGAAGTCTTGGACTTGGACTAAAGTTAGCCAGGTCAGTGAAATATAAAAAGCAACAAGTGGCAAAAGTATATGACTGGTCAAGTTCTGTATGTTCTGTATCATTACATTGGCATTATATTTACTTACTGATATATTATACGATTAGTAAATGTTTCTGGTCTCATTGGTGAATGTTATTCAAAAGAAAAACAAATGATCAGGGGTCAGATCAGATCATATTATTATTCATAATTCAGCTTCTTGATTTTCCAAATGCTGTTCATAAAATGTTTTAAAATATGAATGCTGGTGATAAAGATTTCAATATTACACTACTGTTCAAAAGTTGAGGGTCAGTAAGATTGAATGTTTTTGAAAGTGTCATATAAGGCTGCATTTATTTGAAGTATTGTCAAACATTATTACAATTTAAAATAACTTTACTATTTTAATATTTACTTCTAATTTTCAGTGTTGATAACTGTTATGCTGCCTATTTGATGAATAGAACGTTCACAAGAACAGCATTTAGTATTTGTAATATAAATCTTACATTTATTTACTTCAAATACATTTATTTATTATTAAATGTATAAATCTAATTTTTGGTTAATGTAATTCAGCCTTGCAGTATACTTAAAAAAACAACAAAAAACAGTTAAATCTTACTCACCACAAACCTGTTAGTCCATAACATAAACTAGTAGCAAACCAGCCCGAATCCGCATTGAAATGCATGCTGGTCTAAGCTGTTATCAGGGAGGTTATCTGACCTAACGTTCACCTCAGTAAATGATCTATTGTAATTACTTTAAAGCACTATATTATTTAAAGGCCTCTCTCTTGTGCACCTGAATGTAAGCTCTGTAGCTTCTGCATGCCGTGCCTGTGTGAACAATTCTGTGTCTGTGACTAACACGGGCCGCCCTGTTATTAGTGTTTGACATGAGAGGCTTTGTAGTTGAACAGTGTTCTACATCCCCGCTTTAGTTTAAACATGAGCCCAATTGACAGCTGTTGGTAAATCGTTGAAAACTTACCACACTGAGGAAGCCCCCTGTTTGATATTCCCCGTCTTACTCACACAGGTAGTTTAACACACTCATCGGCAAATGCGTGCAAGAGCCACCTGTTCGTTTGTCAACAAATCACCCCTCAGGAACGTCTGAGAACGGCTCATACTCGGGTCAAGAGTGGACCGGGCTGAGAAGCAGCCTTAAACTTGTGAAGAAATAGATGCTAGTTTGATGTCCACACAACAAAGCAGTGTGTGTGTGTGATTTAAAGGGATAGTTCACTTAATTAATTTTTGGTATGTTTTAGTTTACCTCAAGGGCATCCAAGATGTAGGTGTCTTTGTTTCCGCAGTATTTTCAATTTTGATATTTTTAGGTCAAACCGTTCTTGTCTTTCAGTCATATAATGGAGGTCTATGGTCACCACCTCAAATAGCATGCACAAAGAAGTCCACATTAAACATGATTTAATGACTCGTAAATGTAAGACACGAAACGAGCTGTTTGTTTGAGAAAACTAACAGTATTTATATATTTTTTTTACCTCTTGTAACCACAGCCACATCCAAGTGATCTGAGGGCGCGGGCGCTTTGTGGCTGTGGTTACAAGAGGTAAAAACAATATAAATACTGTTCGTTTTCTCACATAAACCGCTTGTTTCGTGTCTTACGCCATCAATGTGTACTTACATGTACGAGCCATTAAATCATGTTTAATTTGGACTTCTCTGTGCATGCTCTTTGAGGTGGTGACCATAGACCTCCATTGACTGACAGACAAGAACGGTTTGACCTAAAAATATCAAAACTGAAACTACTGCGGAAACAAAGACACCTTCATCTTCTTGAGGTAAGCTAAAACATACCAAAAATGTATTTCAAAGTGAACTATCCCTTTAACACAATAATCTTACAGCAGTGGCTTACTCAGTAACTCAGAATGTAAAGGTCAGTCTATTTCACATAAATGTCATCATAAGTGCTGATTCAGATGGCATACAGTATATGGAGGTTTGTTGTTAGTGGAGGAAAATATCTGAATGGAGAAATTTCATACAGATATGTTAACTTCAAAAGTCGTTTTTAATTTTACACATAAAGAAAGTCTATTCTGGTCACCAAGGCTGCTGTAAAAACTAATATTGTGAAACAATAATAATAATACATTTAATGTGTGTTTTTCTATCTTTTCAAATATAATTTAAGTATATAAATAAATGTGCATTCAGAAATAATTATAATATGCAAATTTGCTGCTCTAGTGGCCAAGAAAATGATAATTAGATACTTTCTGTAAGAACATGCTTGGGAATACAATAGAAATCGGGATCTGGACACTTCTGATTTAATGTGATTTTGCATTACATGCCATGCCAAGATCACTGACCTTTCAGCTAGTGAAACGCATTAAAAAATGATACTGCAACTTTAAGAGATTGAGACAAATGTGGTCTTAATGCCGTAAATGAATAAATAACAGATGAACTAGATCAATAATGGTCCCCATTTATTTTGACATGAAAAGGTACTGTAGTGTTAACATGGTGGTGACCTGGTTCAGTCTGACAGACTAGTGTCATCTGTAATTTCCCCAGCATTACTTCTCTTTTGTAGCTTGTAGGCATGTTTACCCTTCCCTTCACTTCACTGTCTTCACCTTAGCTTTAATCACATCTGACTCACTTAGCCCACAAAACTTCAAAGCACCAGATAGATATGTACATTTCACATTGCATTGGTCATTGCTCTCTGTAATTATATGGGCTTTGCGGGCTGTTCTGAGTACTCCAGCGAGAGCGTGTTTATTTTGATGGCACAGGGACTAAGGGTGCACCTGTTATTTCCCATCTAGGAAACTGATTCCTCACATGAGTAACACTGCAATAATACCAGCAGTCTTTATTTACTCATGAAACACACCACACATGCTTTACAACCCCCATGTGGGAATGTGTTTGAAAACTGCCAGGGCTTTGATTGTGTGTGGAAAGCCTGCTCTACAACAATAAAACAACTCTTTGAATCATTTAAGGACTGTCAATTGTGTTGTTTATGTGGGTATATAGCCTACATTATTGTGATTATGTCATTGAAATTGTGATGTATTGTGATTTTGAGGTGAACTAATGCGGTGTTTCATATAAGCTTTTCCTTCATTTTCCATTATTTGAGCATCTCCGTGAGTTTTAATGCACGTTGCTCTACGTGTTTTCCGCTTTCTCTATCTTGTAACGGACGCGGGAACGTTTTTGGACAGCAAACAACACATGACTCCTTTCAAACCCATTCAGAGGTTTAATTTAAGCTCCCTCGGGGTCTCCCTCCTCCTGTCCCAGTGAAGGGGCTTTTCTGTGATGTCAGACGAGAGAATTCGAGCATTATTAGCGCTGAATAACTTGAATAAGACACAATGGAGTTGGTTTGAATAGAGCGGAGTGACGCGGCGAGGCGGTCAGTCTTCACCAAGCGGCGGTTACGTATGTCGTCACTACAAGTTGTTTGAAACTTTTTTGATGGATAGATTTATAAGCGAGGTTTCTCTTCTCGTGTTGACAGATCTACACGGACTGGGCGAATCACTACTTGGCCAGATCTGGACACAAGCGTCTGATTAAAGACCTGCAGCAGGATGTGAGCGATGGTGTGCTGCTGGCGGAGATCATCCAGGTTATCGGTGAGCGATTCACTTTCTCTAAAACACAGGCAAAAAGAATTGAGCAAAGAATTTCTGGGAAAGATGTAGCCTACAGAAATTGCATAAAATCGATTTTTAAGAACATACAATGCTATGATTAGTACAATTTGTTCGCTAATGATGACTTTTTATTTAATTATATTTATTTATATTTTTTGTTAGCTTAATGCTTAATGCAAAAATACATCACAGAGTATTATAAATAAATAAACTGACATCTGACTATATATATTTATGCATGAATGTTTGATCTGTACACTCGAATATAAAGCATGCATTTATTATTAGGCCTATTATAATTATAAAGGATGATATTTTGCCTCCTTTATTTATTTATTTGGATTTTATTCTGTTCAGTGTATCGATTTATTAGACTAAAATTAAATAATATTGGAATAATATTACATAATCAAACTATTTAAAATAAAAAAATACTGAGTAATATAAATACATAATATATGAAACATTATATATTTGTGCATTTATATTTAAGCAGTGTTTTTAAAGGGACACTCCGCTTTTTTTTTGGAAGTAGAAGAAGAATATCAGTAGACAGTTTCTGGTCCTATTGACTTCCATATAGTACAGTATATATTTTTCCTACTATGGAAGTCAATGGGACCAGAAACTTTACTGATATTCTTCTAAATATCAGAAAATCGGCTGAATGGATTAAAAAATGGTAAAACTCAACTGTTAACTCTGAGGGAGTGGTAAAATGAGCCTATTTCCAAAAAAAGTGGAGTATCCCTTTAAATTCAAAGCATGCATTTTTCACTCACATTAATTTATTTATTTGAAATTATATTTGAAATGCATTTCAAACTATTTGTTTGTTTGTTAGTTTGAACCCCCTTGAAAACGAGATGATTCACCTCAAGGGGTTTATCCGTATAAGAATACATTTGTTTTCATTTATTTGTAGTATTAGCAATGCTTTCACCTTTCAGTCACTAATATTTTAAGTTTGATCAAACTGTCATGGCACACTATTAATTACAGCAGTAGATCCACCCAGTTGTAATAGGAGTTTTTAATGCTTTAATGCTATTTAGTGCTCAGTAAGAAAACTGATCGATTCTTGCCATGGACATGCAAAAATAGAGTTTTTCTTTACCTCTGTCCTCTAAAAATATGTTGTAAGAGCCGGAAAGCATTTAGTTTCTTAACAGCAGAAAGTACAGTGTTGTCGGGTAAAGTGGTATTATGTGACTCATCATTGTGGTCATCCCACTTTGTCCTCTTGTCTTTATCTCATGGGAATGACACACTGGCCAGCTGAAGCTGAAACCCGACCTGTCCCGTCTGACACACAAATGCTGCAGGCAACCAATGACATGATGCTTCACATGTTTACTTTATTTTATATTAAAGGGAGCTGATGGCTTTCGACCAAAAAAGTTTCAAAGGGAAATTTTAAAATAAGAAAATTGAAATGGTGACAATAAAGATATTTAGAGCTCACGCCAGTTTACAGGGACCCCAACAAGTAAAATGTATAGATTCATCAAATGGGATTTGTTTTAAAGAATGATATGAATTCTGAGGTCTAGAGTTTATTTGCAGATCCCAATTTGATATGTTTTGAGATCTAATGCAATGAAATGAATGCACTCTTTAAGTATTTTGAGGACCAGTTTATAGTTTTGACGTATAGTCTAAAATAATGATTAAATAATAAATTGTTTAGAAAACATGGCCATCCAAATGGGGAACATTGATGTTTATTTGATATTAAACATCACAATTTTTGCATTCTTAATTGTAGCTTAAGTGTTTCATATTTAATAATGATTATATAACAAATTGTTTAGAAGACATACATTTTGATGTTCATGTGATGTTATATATTATTTTTATTTCAAATTGTGATATTAAAGTGAAATTAGAAATGGTATTTGAGTGTTTGCCTAAAAAATATCATGGTATGTGTAAAACATTTTTTTTAATAATATATATATATATATATATATATATATTACCCTAACCTAACCCCTAACCCTAACCCTATATATATAGGTCTAGAATGTTTGCAGATGCCATATTGATATTTTTTATATCTAATTTTCAAGCAATGAAATTAATTTGTATTTGTGGCTTACATATTTTATATAAAACAATAATCAAATAACATTATAAAATAACGATTACATAACAAATTGTTTAGAAGTAATGACAACCCAAGTGAATGGCAACCCAATTGTGATATATTGTTATTTTTATTTTAAATTGTAAGGTGAAATTGGAAAATACCATTGCGTTTACATGTTGGTCAAAAATATCATGGTATATGTAAAAAATAAAATATAAAACATTTTTTTTAAAGAATGATAAATTAATTAAATGTATCTGTTTTAGACCTTTTATCCATTTTTGATGTCTATATTCAAAATCACTGCATTCTTAAATGTGGTTGAAGTATTGTATATAAAATACTAATTCAATAACATTTAAAATAACGATTTAATAGCAATTTTCAAAGATGGCCCCCAAATGGTTCTCCTGTTGTCACAGATTCCCTCCACGAGACAGGCCGTCTCAGTCTTCCATGCTTACTCACCTGACATCTTACACATTCCCAACACATTTTTCCCACAGCGCAGGAGGTAAAGGGATTCCTGCAGGCATGTAGCTGTCAGTGTAGGCGTGTGTGCAGTTGTCATCTGTGAGCGAACGGCTCTGTTTCAGCTGCCGTGGGGTGAGGGGGGGTTTGGGCTGGGCCCGTCGGGATGCAGTCAGTCACCCTCAGGAAAACCCCAAAGCAGTCGCATCCCAGCAGGCCTTGCCACACAGTTGCTCAAGCTGGATCTAGTTTCCACATATAGGGGTCAAAACTTAGAAAGGACATACTGCACTTCAGGCTTACAATTAAGGAGACCTGCCAACTTGGGTTCTTTTGTCAATTAATTTCTATCTATTTCTCTCTTTTTCGGATACCGCAGCAAACGAGAAGATTGAGGACATTAATGGATGCCCTAAGAGTCGTTCTCAGATGGTAAGGACTTGTTTTGTTATCCGCTGGTTTTGTGTGTGGTTTGTTTTTTAGTTATGGTGTAATTTTTGATAATTGGAGTATATGTGCTTTAAAAGGCAATGCTATATCTGTCCAGGGAAACACTAATATATTGGACGTTCAGAATCGCTTTCTCACAGCATGCTTGGCGTACAGTATGGACTTGCACTTTATTACTGTTATTTTTGCTTCACTCGTGGTCTTTCTTTATAAACATCTGGGGGTAGTTTGGCAGAAACTTAAAAAAACTCCCGAAACCATCAGTAAATGTATAGGTTTGGAGAAAGCACAAGCCAGATTATAGACATAAAGAGCTATTTTAGCCAAGCTGTAGCTAAGCAAAACAAACTGTAGAAGTCTGAGTATCACTGGTATCACACATGAGCAGAGAAGCAGCGGTTGCTTTTGACATGTCTCCATTACAAAGGCAGCTGTCAAGCCTGATTGGACGCAACAAAGGAGTCATTTTCAAAGGGCTTTTTTTATGGTAGATTGATCCATACGTGCGTTTTGTTATTTCTAGAGGGTTTGGATAGTAATGCCTCCGTTGGGGCATTGCTCTTGTTTTGACAGTGATGAAACCCAGCTGAAACCAGCGGATGTTGGGTTTGGAGGGCTGGTGTGCTGCGATGTTTGGCCAACTAGCTTCACTAGAAAGACAATGCTTCTTTAGTTGATAAGGATGGGGATCGCCAAGAATTGAGGGATTCTGTAGTTGACCCATGAATGAACATCGGGACATCATTTACTCACCCTCATGCTGTTCCAAACCTGGATGATTTTTTTCTTCTGTTGAACACAAAAATAAGTTTAAAAAAAACTTTGCTAGAAAAACAGTTGATGTTGAAAGAAAATTCAATGGAAGTCAACACACTAAAAAACGCTGGGTTGTTTCAATCCAACTTTGGGTCAAATGTGGACAAAGTCTGCTGTTGGGTCAATTTTTTCAATTAAAATTTTAACCCAACGTTCGGGGTTGTCCATATTTTACCTAAAATTGGGTTAAAAACCCAGCATTTCTTAGAGTGAATGGCTAAAAAATAATATAAATAGCAATGTTTCCATCCACCTTTTTAATGCAAATTTTGGGATTTAAAAAACACCAAAAAAATGCTGGATGAAAATGCCAAGATGTGCATAAATTAAAAAAAAAAAAAAAAATGTTGCATGCACATAAATTACGAAGGAAACACATTTATTGCATAAATCCCTCGATGAGCACCAAAAAAAACGGAGGATGTGATTGATTGGGGACCCGGATGATCCAGCGGATCAGTTTGTCATATTTGGTTTAATTCCCTCCCAGAAGTGTCTCACTTGCGTTCACATTCACAAACATCAGGCATCCGAACAAAGTCATTTATGATGTTGGGAAAAAAGAGCCAGTTTCTTCCTCGATTGGAGATGGTCCTCACTGCAGAACATGAAATCCAGGGGGAGGAGTTGGATCCAGTTCCAACTCCTCCCACCTTCCATATACCTAAATCTACCCATCTCCCCTGACCCTAACCCCACCCCTAATCCTACCCATCTCCACCCCCTGAGCCTAACCCTAACCCCTAATCCTATCCATCTCCACCCCCTGACCCTAACCCCACCCCTAATCCTATCCATCTCCACCCCCTGATCCTGACCCCACCCCTAATCCTATCCATCTCCACCCCCTGATCCCTAACCCCACCCCTAATCCTATCCATCTCCACCCCCTGACCCTAACCCCACCCCTAAACTTACCTATCTCCACCCTCTGACTCTAACCCCACCCCTAATCCTACCCATCTCCACCCCCTGATCCCTAACCCCACCCCAATCCTATCCATCTACACCCCCTGGTCCCTAACCCCACCCCTAATCCTATCCATCTCCACCCCCTGATCCCTTACCCCACCCCAATCCTATCCATCTACACCCCCTGGTCCCTAACCCCACCCCTAATCCTATCAATCTCCACCCCCTGACCCCTAACCCCACCCCTAATCCTACCCATCTCCACCCCTGACCCCTAACCCCACCCCTAATCCTACCCATCTCCACCCCCTGACCCCTAACCCCACCCCTAATCCTACCCATCTCCACCCCCTGACCCTAACCCCACCCCTAATCCTACCCATCTCCACCCCCTGATCCCTAACCCCACCCCTAATCCTACCCATCTCCACCCCCTGACCCCTAACCCCACCCCTAATCCTACCCATCTCCACCCCCTGATCCCTAACCCCACCCCTAATCCTACCCATCTCCACCCCCTGATCCCTAACCCACCCCTAATCCTACCCATCTCCACCCCCTGACCCCTAACCCCACCCCTAATCCTACCCATCTCCACCCCCTGATCCCTAACCCCACCCCTAATCCTACCCATCTCCACCCCCTGATCCCTAACCCCACCCCTAATCCTACCCATCTCCTAACCGATTGCACTAACTTCCATTTTTTTCACAGATCCAATTTTGCGGCAATTTCCCAGGAAGTGATGATTTTGTTTTCTAGAACACATTGGATGAAAACGGTGCTTTATTTGCAAATGATTTATGCGATATTCCAATTTTGTGCATATGTTAAATTCACAGCTTTGGATGGAAACATAGTTATTGTAGATGCGACTGAATAGTCAGAAAACTAGTAAAAAAAAAATTTAAAAAATGAAGTCGTCTCCCAGCCCTAATGCTTGACCAGCTTTACAGTTTGCTGGTAAACAGATGTGAGAGATAGATTAGGAGTTTTGAATGGATCTCTTTTCCCCGTCTCTCTCACTGACTTCCCCTTTCTCTGGCTCCATCAATTAGCTCCGTCCCCTTAGCAGCAAATCGCACCATCATTTACTACTTTTAGACACACACAGCCTTTGTGTTCCCATTTTCTTTCTCCTTTCCTTTTCTTTGCTCACAGTTTTCTCTCGTTCTCTAGCTGCGCGAATACTCTGGTCTTTTGAATTCGGTCGTCTTCTATATCTCAGCCGGTGGTAACTGTATTAGCATGTGCGTATATGCACTTTTTTTGTGTGTATGTCTCAGCAGGCGTTCTGCATCTCATTGCAGTTTTCCTGTATGTGAGTCAATCTGAAGCTGTTTAAATTCCAGCGTGTGTGTTTGTTTATGTGCGTGTGTGTCTTTAGCTAGGAAGCACAACACTGCTGGAAGCAGGTGCAAGCAAAGCCATTATGCAAATATCACCATTGTGAGCGGGAATTGCACAATCGCTCAGTGAATGGGCCTCCAGCAACAGCTTACACTGGACATACAAGCACTCATGTCATTAGCATAATGATCCATTTGCTTGAGTAATATCTCTGCAAACGCTAATTGCTGACATGATACTTAACCTCAGCATTATGATGGGTAAATATGTAAACACGTTAAACTAATCAATGGAGGTATTTGGGCTCATATTGTGAACTTGGGAATTTCAGTGCATTTTTCTCACTTGCTTTGAAGGACCATTTGTTACAGCTAAGCATATGTTAGCTTTTATGGAACAGTTTTGAGTGCCAATCATGAAATCAAGCCATTTTACTTCCATAATGCATCAGGAATGGGTGTTATAGTAGGGCCTTAAGTCGTTTCTACGGTTTACAGTTTGATGAAAGTTGAGATTATAAGATAAGATCCTTTTTTTAAACATTCACGTACTCATGCAAAATGAAACCAGGAAAATAAAACAATGATGGTAATGATTTAAAAAAAAAATAATAATTCTCATCGAGGCTGCATTTATTGGATCCAAGATACCGTTAATCTAGAATATTTTGAAATATTAATACAATTTGAAATAACTGTTTCCTTTATTAATACATCTTATTTTGTGATGCAAAGCTGAATTTTCAGTCTTCACATGATCATTCAGAAATCACATGATCATTCAGAAATCATTCTAATATGAGGATTTGGTGCTCAAAAATATCATTTTTATTATCAGTTAAAAGTAGTTGTGCTGCTATTTATGTGGAAAGTGATACTTGTTTTTCAAGAGTTCCATCAGTTAAATGCATCGCTGAATAAAAGTTTTATAAAAAAAGAAGAAAAATCGTTGTTACCCCATGCAAAGTCTTTATTTATTTATGTTTTGCAGTAATTCACAATGGTTCTCAGTTCAAGTGTGCGCATGCATGCGTGTGTGTGCATGTGTGTGCGTGCATAGCGTGTATAGGTTTGGCTTTTACCAACTGGCCTCACTTGTTTAGTGAAATATATGACAACCCACTATTGAGGACATTTTACTGGTCCTTGGCGTATAATCAGCCAAAATATTTTGATAGGTAGGGGTGGGGTTAGGTAATAGAAAATATAATTTACCATATATAAAAACAATGGAAGTCTATCACTCTAAAAATTGAATTTAAAAAATTAACTCTTGCTGCTTTTGTCCATATTTGACCCAACGTTGGGTTAAAAGTTAAAACAATTTTGTATACAATGTCCTTAGGTAAACAAACGTGTTTGCGCGTGTAAGAAATAGCCATTCGTTCATTGTATTTACAAACGGAGCCGTTTTTGAGCTATGTAAAGCACTCATCGCTGCACTATCAACTGCTTAAAACCTTTTCTAAATAAACGTGGAGTGTTAGTTTCTATTTAAACAACACTGTTACCCCTGGATATTTGGTGTTCATCCGATCGCTATTTTATCAGTCTGGACTGTGGCATCAGATTCTCTCTCGTTCACCTTTGGGGTTGTTTTTACACCTGTTTGTTCCGTCTGATCCCTTTTAGACCATCTCCTCCTCCCCTTTAAAGGGATACTCCACTTTTTTATGGAAATAGGCTCATTTTACAACTCCCCCAGAGTTAAACAGTTGAGTTTTACCGTTTTCAAATCCATTCAGCCGATTTTCTGATATTTAGAAGAATATCAGTAACCAAACAGTTTCTGGTCTCATTGACTTCCATAGTAGGAAAAAAATATACTATGGAAGTCAATGAGACCAGAAACTGTCTGGTTACTGACATTCTTCAAAAAAATCAAAAAATCGGCTGTATGGATTCGAAAACGGTAAAACTCAACTGTTTAACTCTGGGGGAGTTGTAAAATGAGCCTATTTCCAAAAAAAGTGGAGTATCCCTTTAAAACAGACAAAGCAAAGCAAGCTGCTCGCAAGATACGCTGCATTTATGTCCAGGGCTGTTGACACAGGACTGCTAAAACACACAGGAAATCTCAGTGTTGTAACTTTACTACTGGTGCATATTGACACAATGATGGTTGCTTCAGCTGAGTCATTCTCTGGTCACATGTGTGGTGGATGTTAGCAGAGCATAGCACTTTGTAGTGGAGAAATTACTTTTTTAAGGACAGAAAACGATGGGAGAGGAGAGTGTTGGATATACAATGGGCTTATATAGCATGACCACTTTTCTGAACACTCTTGTCTTTTGTTTTGTTAGTTAAGGGGAATGAATTATAAGGGGAATGATTGGCACGCTAATCCAATTTGGTTGTCTGTCAGTCATCACAGGAGGTTGTTTGTGTGGGATCTGTGCTCAGGATGTGGAAGAAATCAAAACTCAGGCCACATTCTTTTGAGGAGGCGTCCATAAAAGTTGGACAAAATTCATCGTTTGTGTTGAGTAACTGGGAGTTTGAACTACTGAAGAAAAAGAAAAAAAAAAAAATATATATATATATATACTGTATATATACAGTGTGTATATATATATATATATATATATATATATATTTCATTGATTTTATTCTAATTCAATTAATGCACAAGTTTATTATTTATACAGTATTTACTGCCATTATATAAAGAACATCACATGACCAGTTCCTCTGTCAGTCATCACCTTTAAATACACACATTCTCTCTCTCTCTCTCCTCAATTCTAACTCACTTACACATAAACACACTTACACACAAGGAGGAGTTTATTAGAAAACCAGTGGTGATGAAAAATATAATGACAGAGAGGGGGAAAACAACCAGAGGGGGAGATGGAGACATATAATAAGAGAGAGAGAGTATGTGTGGAGGGAGTCTCATATAGAAGGAATGTATCCGGTATATGTTCACATGTGTGCTTTTTAGCATGTTTATGTGTTTGAGACAGGCATTAGTTCTCTGTGTGTGTGTGAAGGTGTTTGTTTACAGGCCGTCTCTGTCCTGTTGTGTTAGACACTATAGAGCCGCTGAGGAACGGATACACTCCTATACAGTCTCTCACAGGTAACATGCAGCGAGCTGAGAAGCAAATAAAACACTCTCTCTTCAGGTACGGGCGTCGTATTGCTTTAAGGACTTCATGGATTGATTATTGACAGGATACTTACGAAACGTGGAGTAAGATAGAATTCAAAATGCTCTTATATTTTTATATAGACATGTAACCTGCGTATAGTGTAGTATAAGAAATTGATTTTTTAACAAACAGAGACAAATAGAAGTACAAATCTTTGTGTTTTATTTGTTTCAGTGTTATGGAAAGAACTTTCATGGCATGTTCGGAAAGTTAACATACTTTTAAGATCTTTGACCAGTCAAACATTTTGATTGAGTATTTCAGTGTTTGGAAAAAGCTTTAACATTTTTATCATTATTTCTGTTTTCTTGACAGAATGAAATGTATTGAATATTTGGATTTTCCCAACAACATACTAGGAATACTTTTGCTTATTGGAGTATTATAAGATTCGGTTAGTAACATTGTAACATCCACATTATAGAAACCAACCATGGAAGTCGATTCTTCCATACTTATTAAGAGCATCATTATTAGTGCATAATAAACAAACAACCTAATAAACAAAGTAATATCCCACCCCCATATTTTTTGTGAAAATATTTTGTAAAACAGTGCTGATTTCACTCATTGTAAATATACACTCTGGTATATTTACATTACTATATTTCTAAATATACAAAATGCTGGGTTTTTTTAACCCAATTTTGGGTCAAATATGGATGAAATCAAACATTGGGTTAAAAAAATTTAATTTAAAAATGTAACCCAATGGCTGGGTTTGTCCATATTTGACCCAAAATTGGGTTAAAACAGCCCAGCATTTTTTTAGAGTGTATTTGAATTAAACAGGATTTTTAATGTTATTGTATTTTAATAATGTAATAATTTTTGTTGTTGTTGTTAAAAAACTAGATATGTTTTTTTTTTTAGCCAGACTAGATATCGACATCAATCTTTGAACAAACAATACTGGTTGAGCACTAATGCGTTTCACTGGTGGCTTATAAATACTAGCGTGTGTTTGTTTTTCGGTTAAGTGCTTTTTATGCTCTATGATCAGTTGTTTGCTTTTATTCCAGTAGGTTCTGATTTCTATTGACCCAGTGAGTTTTTAATGCAGCTATTATGAGAGTGTCATTCAGAGTGGCGTTTGCTGTCATGCATGACCCGCAGACCAACAATCACAGAAGACAATGTTGTTATGTTAGAGCTAAATTGCCCCACACCCCATTTTTTTTAATGCATTCATATTGACTTGATAGAATATTGTGCCTTTGTAATTCAATTCACCGAGAGAAAGAAAATATAGAAATTCCATTTCCTCTCTCTGCTGTATTTTTATTTAGAAACGTTATTTTTAGTCCTGGATGTCTGGAATGTGGTTCCTTCAAAGGTTCAGTGGAATCTAGAGCAGATTCTTTACTCACGTTTCGAGATCTCCCTTGACCCTTCAGGCCGGCAACTGTTGGCTGCCAGCAACTGGGATATAGTCATCGAGGCTGAAATGTGTTGCTATAGCTGACATAACTGACGCGTGTGCTGACTAACCCATGGCAGATGACCAGTTCTTTAATACAGAACATTGGCATTAAATCAAAGTGATGCTCTAAATTATGTGGTGGCCTCAAAAATATTGCCTAATACTTAAATCTGCTTATTTTTTATATTTACCCCGAGGGTGTTGTTTACCTTTATAAAGGCCTTAAAAAACGTATTAAATGAACACTGTAAAAAATATTTTCAAGATTTGTTATCACAACATATTTTCTTTTGTCAAATCAACTTTATAATAATTTATTTTGTTGAGATAACTTATTATTTTGAGTTTCTGATGGTTAAATTAATCTACGTCATTGTATTAACTCACTTTTTCCAGTTCAATTAACTTAAAATTTTAAGGCAACCCAGGTTACTTACTTTTTTAAGTTAAACCAACACTTTTTTTACAGTGTAGTAATCACAACATTTTTTCTTTTGTCAAATCAACTTAAATCATTTATTTAGTTCAGATAACATATAATTTTGAGTTTCTGATGGTTAAATTAATGTCCTTCATTGTATTAACTCACTTTTTCCAGTTCAGTGAACTTAACATTTTAAGGCAACCAGGTTACTTACTTTTTTAAGTTAAACCATCAATATTTTTTTTTAATTTTTAATCATCAATAAATTCAATTATGGTAAGACACTATACACTGTAAAAATATATTGTTGGTTTAACTTAAAAAAATGAAGTAACCTTGTTTCCTTAAAATTAAAAAAATTAAAAGTTCATTGAAATTAAAAACACTGAGTTAATACAATGAAGGAGTTTGATTTCATCATCAGAAACTCTGAACTAC